AGCCTGGTCCCGTGGGTGGGATCCCTCCCATCAGATCTGGATCCATCTTACCCAAAAAGCTCTGCCGTGGGTGTTTTTCTTATTTTGGTGAATATTTCTGCATCTTTTTGTTTAATGTTCAAGCTTGTACATGTTCCGTTTGAGATTGAATGAAAAATCAAAAAAAAAATTTGTTCAGTTCATTTTGTCTGATGAATGTGCTCTCCTTTTTGTTTTTCGTTGATGAATGTGTTCTTTCTTTTGAAAATGACGAACCGTAATTTTACTCTCTTTTTTTTTATGTTCGATCTGTTTTTGCCTGTTTTAGTTGATGGGTTGTGTTTTGTGGGTCGGGTCAACCCGACCCAACCTAAAAAAAAAAACTAAAAAAATGTTAAAAAGAAAAAAATATATATATAAGTTTTTATTAATTAATTAGGGGAGTTAGTTTAATTTATGATTAATGAAGTTAATTAATTTTAATCAAAACAAATTAATCATATTTATGAAATTTTAATTTGAGATAATTAGATTTATTTGATTATCTTAATTAAAGATGAGTAAATGTGATTAATTAATTTTAATTAATGTTAAGTTAATTATTTAATTAGACTAATTATCTCAATTAATTAATTTCAATTTTCAATTAATTTTAATGTTGGTCATAGTTAAAATTATGTTCATTTATTTTAAATTGGTTAAATACCTTTTTTGGTCCCTCTACTATAGGAAAAAACTTTTTTTTTAGTTCATGTACCGAAAAAATTTATTTTTTGATCCTTACTGTTTACAAATCCGGCCCTTTTTTGGTCCTTCTGTTAATTTTTGCTCACATGGCACGTTAACTTAACGGGAATAGCTGATGTGGATTTAATGATACCCTCCACGTCACCCTCACTCAGCGTCCCCTTTGATCCATCAACTTTATAAGTTTGCATTTTTTTATAAAGTTATTTGTTGTTATTATAAGGAAATACCCAAAACATTTTGGGTATATCCTCTTAAGAAAAAGCTTTAAAATTTTCTAAATAAATCAACCAACAGGATAAAATTGAGATTGGAACACTAGAATTTATTACTAAAAGAATTCAATTTATTATTCAAACAAATAACAAAGAATCATCAAACAAATGAACAACAAAACCCACATATCATCAAATCCCATCTCTCTCTCACCGTTTTCTCTAGTTTCTGCGTACCCTCACTCAGCGTCCCCTTTTTTGAACTCGGAAGCCCTTGGCTTTCCGAGTGTTTTGCCGCTTGAGCTGCCGGGCTCTTCGGCTGCTCAAGCCTCCTGGAGCCAGTTACGTCCTCCCTACTCCGATGACCCCTGGGTGCTCTGTCTGCTTTTGGGATTCCTTCTGGTGGTCCTTTTCTTGTTTTTTTTTTCTGTTTTTCTGTTTGTTTGGTTCGTTTGTGCTTAGATCCGGTGGTCGTCCAACCCTCATGCGGATCTACCGTGGTGGTTGTTGGGTTCCTAGATCTGGTGGCCACCGCCGGTTTGGCTTCCCGCCTCGGCATCCTGGAGACTAAGCGCCACTCCTTCACGAGTAGATTGAAGGGTGTCCAGTTATTTGGATCGTTCGACCAGAGGAACTGGTAATCAACTCCTTTGAGGTTGTCCGGGTGCATTGTTCACCTCCCTTCTTTGCCATTGCAATTGGGTCTACTCCGGATTTACTCTCCAGCTGTTCTCTCTCTGGTTGTTTTTTTTTACTCTTATCCTGTGGATAAGATTTTCTGTAGATGCCGTAATGGCGGTGCTGTAATACAATGCTTTCTCTGTGTTCAAAAAAAAAAAAAAAACCCACAAATCATCATATCCTTGTGATTCTATGTTCCCGAAACACAATCCCCAACCTAATTTACTACTTCAATAGAGCGAGAAGAGATACGATCAAAGACAGCCCAACGGCGACACCAGAAACCGCCAGAGAGGATCTAGCACCGGGGAGAGGACCAAGAGCCGCAGCAAGAGACTTGCTAATTTGAGCCGAGACGGCAACGAAAAGCGCCATCACCAAAGCCGCAACAAAAGCCCTCACGAAGCTGATCTGTGCCATTTCTGGAAGCTAAACAGACGAATGGAAGATGGACCGACGACGGCCGAGAGGATTTCTTCTTTGCTCTAAGAGAGGAGAGGAGATGTTGTGAGGAAAGAAAGATGCTAGATCCCTCAGCCGATCTGGGTAGGAAAGAAAGAAGGGGACGAAGAGGGGTTGAGAGTTGAGGGTAATAATGTAATTTTATGTTTAAATTATAATATAAATATTTATTTACGCTAACATTTTTATTTATTTATATAATATAATTATAATATATATAATTGTCATGTCATCAAAAAAATTAAAAGAAAATATCAAATGGAATTATTTAATTGACATGTCATGTTTAACTAATAAAAGAATCAAAATTGTGTAATTTTTAGAGTTAAAAAATCAAAAAAGTGAAAAGAATAATCTAAGGATCAAAAAAATGTAAACTTATAAAGTTGAGGGATCAAATTTAGCATTTAACCTTTTTTTTTCTTTTTCCCGCACGTGGAGGGTGACGTGGAAGGTATCATTAAGTCCACACCAGCTGTTCCCGTTAAGTTAACGTGCCATGTGAGCAAAAATTTAACGGAAGGACCAAAAAGGAGCCGGATTTGTGAACAGTAAGGACCAAAAAAGGGATTTTTTCGGTATAGGGACCAAAAAGGAGCTTTTTCCTATAGTAGAGGGATCAAAAAGGGTATTTAACCTTTTAAATTTTACCCAAAACTTTTATAATTAAGCAATTCAGTCCATGGGTTTCAACTCTTTTCAAATCAATTCTTCATGTTTTGAATCTTAATCAAATCAGTCCTTCATGTTTCGAATTTAATCAAATTAGTC